GGTCCTTCGTTATGTAGCAGCCCGAGCTCACGGTGACAGCAGCATCATTCAGGCTGATTCCAAAGCCTGGAGAGAAGGATGCCACCCCCTCGCAGGGCTGTTTGGGGACAGTCTGTGACAACATTTCTTTTGTTGTTGTTGTTCTGCTTGCATTTTTTTTTTTATCCTCATCCGAGGACATTTCTCCATTTTTTATTCAGATAGAGCAGGAAGGAGAGAGAGGAAGAGAGTGAAACATCGATGTGAAAGGGACACATCGGGTGGCCACCATCCACACAACCCAACCAGGGCCAGGGACAAACTGCAGCCAAGGTACATGCCCTTAGCAGGAACCAAACCCAGGCCTCTGTGGACCGCAGGCTCTAACCGCTGAGCCAAACTGGCCAGGGCTGTGACAACGTTTCTAATGGGCTTGGCACCTGCCACATAGTAAGTGCCCGATAAATTGCGATGCCAGTGTAGTAACATACGTGCCAGACCCTGAGCTGGGGACTGGTGAAGAGCCAGCATCTGCTGTTCTGCAGGCTTTTCGGGGGGTGACCTGAGGAGGGCAGGACATGGTCAGCCTCAGAGGGAGAGGCCTGCGGAGCTGGACAGAGCGGAGAAGAAGGAGGCAGGAGGGGTCAGCACCGGGTGCTAATAGAAACTGGTGGACTCTGCCCTGGCCAGTTTGGCTCAGCGGTTAGAGCATCAGCCTGCGGTCCGGAGAGACCCGGGTTCGGTTCCCGCTAAGGGCACGTACTTCGGTTGCAGTTTGTCCCCGGCCCTGGTTGGTCGTGCGGGTGGCAGCCACTTGATGTGTCCCTTCACATCGATGTTTCTCTCTCTCTCTCCCTTCCTCTCTCTCCCTCCCACTCTATCTGTACAAAAAATGGAAAAATATCCTCGGGTGGGGATAAAAAAAAAAAAGAAACTGGTGGACTCTCATTACAGGCAGAACCAAAACAATAGCGACAACAGAAACAAAAATCATAGTGGCTTTAACCTCTCCGGTGCAAAACGTTTTACTGACCTCCCTGTGCCTTGGTGTCCCCATCTGGAAAAGGGTATAATCAGGGCCCAGCCCCGGAGGGCTGTCGTGAGGACTGGGTGAGGCGTGTGGAAAGTTCGTGGCCCATTGTCCGGCACACAGGAAGTGCTTAATTAATTGTCAACGGGGAACTTTCCAGGCGCCAGGCGGTGCCCAAGCACTTAACACAACCCCTCATTCAGTCCTCACGACAGCCCCGGGAGCTTGGTCCTTGGATGAGCCCGACTGCGTGAGCCCCCGTGTTGAGATGGAGCTTCAGAGAGGGCTACGCACGGGCCGGGGTCTGTTCAGCTGCTGCAGCAGAATGCAAGGGCCTGAGGCACTCAAATCGCCAACATTCATTTCTCATCATTCTGGAGGCTGGGGATCCAAGGTGAAGGTGCTGGCGGATTTGTGTATGGTGGGAACCTGCTCCTGGTTTACAGACTATGTCCTCACAGGTGAGGGGCCCAGGGGGCTCCCTGAGGTCAGGGCACCAATCCCATTCCTGAGGGCTCTGTCCTCATGACGTAATCACCTCCCAAAGACACCGCTTCCCAATACCATCGCACCAGGGATTAGGTTTCAACATATGAATGCAGGAGGGACACGAAAATGCCCAAGATTACACAGCGTTAGGTCGCGGAGTGAAGAAACCACACCGCCCCCTAGGCACTCTGGGAGCTGAGGGCAGAAAGGGGGACAGGCTGGTCACGGGCGCACCCAGGCTGTGACGGACGATGTTGCCTTTGGCAAATGGTTCTCAAACCTCCGCCAGATTGTCCTGCCAACTGGGGAAGGTGGATTCCTTGAGGGGCTAGGAAAAAGATCTGAATGAGGGGGTATCCCTGGAGGGTGGAGCGGGGACCCTGGGCCACGAGGAGAGGTGCGAACAGACGTGGTTAAGAGCACCCTGGGTGTGCACTGGCTGCTCGCTGACGTGTGACATTAGCCTCCCTTTCTCGCCTTTACATTGGGAGTAATAACAGGACCAGTCCTGGGCGTTGTTGATGATGTGAGAGTTAATGCAATTAAAGCATTTGGTGTCGTGTTTGGGCTGTTGTGTGCACGAATCAACTCTTATTTATCATAAGGAACTAAAACCCGTATCAAGCATAATTACATGTAGACGTAAGAACCAACCCAAACCAAGGCAGAAACCTGCAGACCAGCAGGGTTCATGGAATTAACCTTTGACCTGCAAATGTGATCCAGAGCTTTCTTGTGGCCACATCAAAAAGGGAAATGTGAGCAGCTGTAGACCCTGGTGATCAAGAATGAGGAAGCAGCCCAGTTTCTCAGGGGAAGCAGTGTTGTTCTCCAGGGCACTTCTTACCGGGCAGGGGGCTTCCTAAGGGTACCCCAGGAGAAGCAGGGGACAGTGTCATTGACCAGGGCTTACACAGCATTGCACACGTGCAGATTTCCACGGCGCCTTTAAGAAAAGGTAAAGGGAAAGCTGGGAATGTGGCTGAGGGGAGGCAGCTCCGTGGGGGATCAAGAATGTGATGAGAGTCTGGGCTCTCGGGGTTCAAGGCTGAGGCTTAGAGGACTCAGAGCGGTGGGATTGGAGCCTGCTGAACCATCAGGGAAGCACACTGGGGTCCTTGGAAGTCAGGCTCTGGAGTCTTATTTCCCAGCTGTGTGGCCTCAGGCAAGTTGCTTCACCTCTCTGAACCTCAGTTTTTTAACCTGCAAACTAATATTCCCGCAGGGCTATTGGGAACATTGCCTGGAGTCTTACATAGCAGTGTTTGGCATATAATGAACACTCAAAGAAATGTTACCTATATGTATACATAGATTATGTGTATACAGTTATAGATACTTTTTTTCATTAGCTTCCTGGTTTAAGAAATACGAATAACTAGAATTTTATAGCTCTTGGCAATGTATAATTGGCAAAGGATTTATTCTCATTTCACATGACCCTCCTGACAATGTGAGGGAGGGGTTCTTACCCCCACGGGAGAGATGAAGAGACTGGGGCTTAGAGAAGAAAAATCTTTGCCTGTGTTGCCTTTGACCTGCCCTTGAACCTAGAGCTAGGAGACACGTGGGCAGGATGCATTGGTCCTTTGGCCTTCCTGGCCCCTCCCACTTTCCCAGGCTAAGGCCATTTTTGGAGGAAGTTAAGAGTAGAAACCTGAGAAATCATCATCATCAGAAGAAGAAGAAGAACAGTAATAATAACAATAACAACATAGTGCTTACCCAGTAACAGCAGTGTTCTGAGTACTTTGCAAGTGACATTTAACCCTCTCAACCGTTCCAAACTATTATGATCATGCCCATTTTATAGATAGGACACCTGAGGTGCAGAGAAGGTAACTGACTTGCTCAGGGTCATAGGAAGGTCACACAGACTGAGGATTTGGATGCTTGGCAGTCTGGTTGGGCCCCAGAATCTGTGTCCTTGACCACTCAGCCCAGTACTACCTGGTCTAGGGGCAGAAGTGAGCTTGGGGCAGGAAGGATGTATGTGGGGACAGCATGGAGGCCAAATGTAAACCTGTGACTGAGGCCCCCCCTTCAGGGACAGCCGAGGGACTGGCCTGGGGGAGGACACATACCAAATGGGGACACTGACTCACTCAGTTCTCAGGATGGGGGTGAGGGGTGAATGGGGAGACATGCCCAGAAGATGTCAGCACCATCCTGTGCTGGCCCAGCCTGGCCCCCATTCAAGACGAAAAGATGTGGCCTCTGACCCTCAGCTGCTCCTAGCCCGGCAGGAGAGCCAGACATGACGTTATTTGTGTCCCCAGAGCATCTCTGCAGACTCGGCTGGGCCAAGGGCTCCGCCCACCACTGCTGCGGGGGAGGTGGGGTCCTCTCTGCTCCCTCCCTCCAGCGTCTTACCTAGAGCTGTCCTTTCCAACTCACCTGTGAAACCTTAGCCTCGCAGGCTCCAGGGAAGCCTGCCCCAGAAAGCCTCTGACTCCCAGGCTGGGGAATACCCCTCCCGGGGGCTTCTCAGACCACCTCCTCTGCCTTGTGCCTTGCAGTCCACCGGGAGCTCCCGCGGAGTACCCTTCCTCGATCTCCCTTCTTCTGTCTGGAAATTGGACGTGATGGCTGGAGCTCAGGCAGATTTCCCGCCAGAAGAGCCATTTCCCTGTCCCTGGGGCCTGTACGGCCCGCCACAGGGAATGTGGGCACGGTCATTTCTTCCTCAAGGGTACACTCCGTGTCTGTCATCAGATCATGATTCAGGGCAGAGTGGACTGAGCGGAAGAGCCCAGATTCTGCAGACGGGGTTCAAATGCCCGCTCTGCCACCTCCAGCCTGGATGCCTTGGGCAAGGGTCTTCCCGGCCCTCAGCCTGGGTGCCCCTCACAGGGCTAAAGCGAGACCACCTGTATTACTTGCTCAACACAGTCCCTGGCATTTTATTATCATGAGCACTAGTCACATGTCTGCCCGTGAAGGGGAGGGCCGCTGCACTGCCCCCATGAAGTGCCCCAGGAAGCCCTGGGGACCCTTATTGGGCACCTCTGGAATCTGCTGCCAGCCTGCAGAGTGGGATGACACCCAAGCTTAAATTCTGAGTCCCTGGGCTCAGTGGAATTTTACAAGTAGCTCTTATTTAATAAAAACCGAAGATGACTTTTATGCAATGAAATATAACCTCAGATCCATTAAGGACCAGCGATGAATTCAGACAGAGGAGTTATTGAAGCATCGACGGGCAGGCTCGCCAGGCTGAGCCATCTGCTTGGAGCCCATGTGTCAGGCTGGGAGAGCTTGGGTGGCGGGAAGTGCATGGACTCCAGGGGGTCAGAGCCCTGGGTTCAAATCCCAGCTCCGCTGCTCTTCAGCTGAGTAACCTCGGGCACTCACTTCACCTCTGCCAGTCTCTGCCAGCCTCTGCTTCCTTTTCTGTAAATTGGGAGTAACGCCAACAGGTCCTTTCTCTGGCTGTGAGTCCACCCAGTGCTGTGTCTCTTAGACCGGGATCCAGCTGCTGCCTCCTCATTCTTCCCTGCAGGTGTTTCCAGCTGCGCACAGAGGCTGATGGTCGAGGACCCTCACGGAAGAGCTTCGGGCCCATAACGTGAACGGTAAGGGACTCTGTAGTCTGAACTCATATCTCCAAAGGGCACCAGGGGGGTCCACTGACAATGTGGGAGCACTGCTCAGCTGTACCCTGGGTCTTGGAAACATGGTTGGAACCAGGCTCATGGCACTGTGCACCTCTCCTTCATGGCACTTGGCATTGTTGAGATTTCTTCCATGATTAAGGAACTTTTGGAACTTTTAAGGAACTTTTGGATGAATGTTTGTTTCCCCCACTAGACTGTTAGGGGGAGGGGAGGGTTCCAGAGAGGCAGGAGAACATGGTTGTCCAGAAGACAGATTCTGAAGTTGGGTTGACTCTCAGCTGTCTGACCTTGGACACGTGGCTTAAGCTCTCTGCGCCTCTGTTTCCTCCTCTGCAAAACGGGGTTCATCACCTACCTATCTCACTGAGATTTTGCAAGGATGAAGAGTTTATATATGTCAAGCCTTCAGAATAGTGCCTGGTATGTAGGAGGTACTGGACAGCTAATTTTAAATAAATAAAATAGCAAAGCAGGAAGTAGTTAAACTATGGAACTGGCCTTGCTAATTGCCAGGGAGAACAATGTCGTCGGGCATCGGTCAATCAGCGCAACGGTCTTGCTGGTGTTGGTTAACCTCTTTTTTTTTTTTTTATCCTCATCGGAGGACATTTTTGCATTTATCTTCAGATAGAGCAAGAGGGAGAGAGGGGGGAAGAGAGAGAGAGAAACATCGATGTGAGAGAGACCTATCAACTGGTCACCAGCCACACGACCCCAACCGGGGCCAGGGACAAACTGCAACCGAGGTACATGCCCTTAGCGGGAACCGAACTCAAGACTTTCTGGTTCGCAGGCTGATGCTCTAACTGCTCAGCCAAACCGGCCAGGGCATGGTTAACCTCTTAAGCCAGTTCCACTCAAAGTTCCTCTAAAGACCCCTGTTTCCTGTTGCAGAGAATGGAGGACGAGGATTACAACTACACCTATGAAGAATTTGAGCCTGACATTTTTGAAGAACCGCGTGCCCCAGAAGGTGGGGTGATCAGGATTTTCCTGGTGGTGGTCTACAGCATCATCTGCCTCCTTGGAATTCTGGGCAATGGCCTGGTGATCTTCATCGCCACCTACAAGATGAAGAAGACGGTGAACACCATCTGGTTCGTCAACCTGGCCATCGCGGACTTCCTGTTCAACATCTTCCTCCCCATCCACATCACCTACGCCGCCATGGACTACCACTGGGTTTTTGGGACGATCATGTGCAAGATCAGCAACTTCCTGCTTATCCACAACATGTACACCAGCGTCTTCCTGTTGACGGTCATCAGCATCGACCGCTGCATCTCTGTGCTCCTCCCTGTCTGGTCCCAGAACCACCGCAGCACACGGCTGGCCTACATGGCCTGCGTGGTTATCTGGGTCCTGGCTTTCTTCCTGAGTTCCCCATCCCTTGTGTTCCGGGACACGGCCCTGGTGCATGGGAAGATATCCTGCTTCAACAACTTCAACCTATCAGTGGCCAGCTCTTCCCCGTGGCCCGCGTTGCCCCACCTGGACTCTGTGATGTTCCACCGGCACATGGTGGTGACCATCACTCGCTTCCTCTGTGGCTTTCTGGTCCCACTCCTCATCATCACAGCCTGCTACTTCACCATCGTCTGCAAGCTACAGCGCAACCGCCTGGCCAAGACCAAGAAACCCTTCAAGATCATCGTGACCATCATCATCACCTTCTTCCTCTGCTGGTGCCCCTACCAAACCCTCCAGCTCCTGGAACTCCACCACACCTCCTTGCCTGGCTTCATCTTCAGCTTGGGTTTGCCCCTGGCCACTGCCATCGCCATTGCCAACAGCTGCTTGAACCCCATTCTGTACGTCTTCATGGGTCAGGACTTCAAGAAGTTCAAGATAGCCTTCTTCTCCCGCCTGGTCAATGCTCTGAGTGAAGACACGGGCCACTCCCCCTACCCCAGCCACAGGAGCTTTACCAAAATGTCGTCAATAAACGAGAGGTCCTTCACGAATGAGAAGGAGACCAACATGCTCTGAGCCTTGCCCGGAGACCCCAGTAGACACTCCCAACCTTGGCGTCCAATCCAAAGCTATACCTTCCCAAGACCATAGCAGGGGCCTCTTCAGCACCCACCAATGCCCACTGTACCTTGCACGGGGCTGAGCAATATCTTGAGCTGGGTCTCAGGGCTTGGAACCCTTTTCTTCCAGAAGCATGGTGGACATGGCATGCCGTGTGTCCCAGCTTGGACCAGCATCCATGCCTCTTGGGAGACCAGCCTTGACTGACGCAAAGCCAAATGGGGAGAATTCTCAAACACACTGCCATGGACGGGGATCAGCACACACCAGGGAGATTATGCTACCTACTGTGTGCTCCCCGGTAATGATGCAAACACTCTGCAGGGTCTGTTCCTGGCGTCCATTCCTCTGGGTTAGGCTGTGTGGAAATGCACAGGTCACCTGGGTGAGGAAGGTGACATGAGTCCATGAACTCCCAGGACCATGCCTTTGACTTTCGGATCACCTGGGGAGACAAGGAACAGGTCCCGAGGGGCCGTGTGGGCTCTGCGTGAGGGCCAGACAAGCAGGGTGCAACGGGAGCTGGGGCAGAAATGCAGAAAGAAGAATGCAGAAGGCACATGGCATGAAGCCGCTCACCCTGGAACTACCCAGGGGGATGGTACTTGGTGCTGTCATTGTCTTAGAGGTGGGGTGGTGCTAGCCCTTTCCCTCAACCCCCGTCCTCACTTTGCATTTGTTCCTGGGGGTGCTGGGATGAGGGGGCAGCTTCACCAGCAGCCCCCACTCCATCCCCGCGGTTCCTGTCTCCTTCTCTAATCTACTGGCTCTGGCTGGAGCCACTCAGAACGAAACACTCTGGGGCAAGAGGTGAGGAAGGAGGGCCTCTCCTCTTCCTCCTCAGCTCCCTCAAAGCCTCGCTGGAGACTGGTCCAAAAGCAACTTCCAGAAGCCGCCTGGGCACGCCTCGCGGCTGGGCAGGGCGTCTGAAGGCTCAGTCACTGAGCTCAAAGCGGAGTCTGGACCCTGACTCCTTGAAGTGTGCTTCTGGAGCGACCATGTGGCTTTTCTCACCAGTACACCTTCCTGTGCTACGTCGTCATTATCCCAATTACAAAGGACAAAGCGGAGGCTCAGAGGAGGCAAGTCACTTGCCTGACAGCACACAGTAGCCGGAGGCTCTGTCTGATCCTATAGAGAAAGTATCTATTGAGAATATTCTAGACCATAATGATAACCTACATTTATTGAGCACTTTCTATGATAAGCACTTTACATGTATCTCATGTATTCCTCACAGCTGCCCTAAGTCAGGTACAATGACATATTATTTCCCTTTTACATACAACGTATCTGAGGCTCAGGGATGTTAAGTAACTTGCTGATCTCTGCCCAAGGCTGGATTTGAACCTAGGTCTCTGCCTGGCTCAAGTAAAGCTGTAGTCTTAAGGCTTTGAGAGGGGCTAGGGGTTTTGACCGTAAATTTTTATTCCTCAGCAGATAAACATCTTAATGGCCTTTCAGTCAGCTTTGCAAATAGTTTTCAAAAATGACCCAACATGGCAAAGAAAATGCTGTTGACCTCCAGCTCCTGCCCACACATGCCCACATGGCTCCCCCTCCTCACCTCTGAGACCCCGGGGAAGGCAGTGGGGACGGGCCTGGCTGGAGGCAGCCCCCGTGGGCCCGAGGGTCTGCATCCTGTTTCTTCCAAGTCTCTCACCGCGAAGCCAATTCTCCAGCAAGAGGCAGTGAACAGATGTAACATCTACACAGTGCCTGGCCGGCTCCCGAGGCCACGGGCTGTTTGGAATCACACCTCATTAGGACACAAACTGTTCCTTCACTTGTCGTGCCCTTGTGTTTACGACCAGCCAGCTCTCAATTGATCCCAAGCTGCAGCCTTCGATGGCTGTAAGCAATCTGTACTTGGACAGTTGGCGAGCGGAAAGGGGGCTTTAAATATTGCCCCCCACCCCCAACTTCACAGGTGAAGCAACTAAGGCACAAGATGGTGTGGGACGTGTTCCAGGTCCCAGAGACAGTCATCGGCCACTTGGGGCTCTGAGCCCCGGGATGGGGCTGCTTCCTCGGCTGGGTTCCTTGCTCCTCCCGGGAGCCAGGAAATCAGTTTGTCATTGGGAGAGCTGATGAACAGGAGCAAAATCCAAACCAGCTGTTTTTCCTCCTTCGGGTCAGGCCTCCTTTTCCTGGCTGCCCGCCCACCCCCGGTCTTCCTGTTCTGGTTGTAGTTTCCCATCAAATGCTTTAAATGTCACCATGGCAGCCCCTTCGATCTTGTCCCTGCAGCTTCTTTGGAGGATCCCCACCGGTTGCACGTACCAGCCCCTGCTGTTTGCAGAGCGCGTTCCCCTGCATGACTCCACAGGCAGCAAGCTCACCTTGTGCCCCGGAGCCCCACTCAGGACCAGGACCGGTCCATGGGTCTCCGTGCTGCCTCCTGGGTGGGGTGCGCGGGCCGAGGGGGTGCTGGGAAGCAGGCGAAGGGATGGGAAGAGATGATGTTTGATTTGGGAACAGGGGAGGGGAGCAGGAGGAGAGAGGGAAGCACAAAGGGATGGAGGATAACGATGAAGGAAAGGAACCTACCGTAATGTGCAGGTGTAAAATCTCATCACACCCTCAAATGGTCCTGTGAGAAGAGGACCATGAGACCTATGTCAGGGATGCAGAAAGTGAGGTTCGGCTTGCAACCCTCACCTGTTCAGGGTGACACGGCTAATTAATGATGGAGCTTGGCTTTGAACAAGGCCTGCTTCCTGAGCTCCCAGCTTCTTCAGCCCTTGAGAAGAAGGAGGCGGGGAGCTGAGAGGGGATGAAGGGGAGGGGCTGAGACTGGGAGATGGACTAGGTGCTGGCCAAGGGAGGAGTTTGGCTTAAACCTGAGCCTAGAGTCAGCTCTGGGGGTCATAGGGGTCAGGATGGGTGGGAGAACATAGAACCCACAAATAAGAGTCATGAGGGCCCTTCAAACTCATCTTGCTCAGGTCTTTCCCATTTCACAGATGAGGGAGCTGAGGTTTGGAGAGCTTCCCTTTAAGAAATCTGCAAAAGGACATGGTATTTGGCTTGGATGGAAGTGGTCAGTGATTCCTCAACTCCTGCCACTGGCCCTTTTTCCTGCTCCTCCCTAACATGTGATGCTCTGGTCGTGTAACAGGAACACAAGTTCTGCTACCTGCTGTCTCAAAAACCAAACTCCTGAGACGGATGCTGGTGAGAAAGGAAAGTGGTTCGTTCAAGTGTCAGTCACCTGAGGAGGTCGGGGACTCTTGTCACAAAGCCCACCTCAATATCTCAGTGCAGGTTTCTTTAAAAAGGGGGAGGAAAAGCAGAACAAAGCGATCAAGGGGAGGGGGTTGAAAAGTTCTCTATGTGCAGACCAGCATGGTCCATTCTGATAAGGATCTTAAAATTGGTCAAGTGATTATTTGGTTTGCTCATCCTGGTCTTCATCATCCTGAAGGTCAGCAAATCTCCCCAAACTGGAATGACTGAAGGTCAGAGTCTGTATCTTCTGAAGTTAGCTTCTAGGATTCTTATACAAACATGCTGTTCATCTACAAGCTACATATTAGTCAGAGTCAGCATTTATAGGAACAATGTCAAAAGAATGGTGGGGTGCGTTACAATTCCCCACTGTTACAGTTGGAGCCGGGGTGCCCTGGGCCTGTAGTTGCCAAATCCCAGATTTGGAAATTTATTGCTAGGAGTGGTGTCTAGGACCAGGAGGAACAAGGAAGCCACTTGTCCTGCTGTGAAATAATTCAGCAGGGGACCAGCTCCTGCTGCAAACTTTTCCTTGCCTTCCCCGTCCACCTTGCGGAATAGCAGCTGACGCTCAGAGAGGCCAAATGACCTATCTGAAGTCACACAGCTATGTTGTGAGACAGCAGGTGAAACCCTGAAATTTCCAACTTATCATTCCCCAAATTTGGACTTCAAAAAGTATGCATCTTGAAAGAATTTCCCTCCAGTCATTTAATTTCTCAAGATAACATAGCAAACCACAGCAGATAGGAGACTGAAACCTGGGACACCTTACTCCTAAGTCTGTGCTCTTTGGCACTACATCAGACCATTTAAGGACAGATGCTCCTATCTACGCATTAAGACTCTATTAAGGGTCCATCCATCCTATCACCTGCCTATCTACCATCCATCCACTCACCCACCCATTCATCCCAACATTCATCTTCTCAACTACTCATCCCACTCATCTGTTCACATATCCATCCATCACCCACCCATCTATGTACATAACCATCTCTATATATCCACCCACTTATCCTTTCCATAAAAATCTAGTGAAGACTTACTTTTTGCCAAGCCCTGTGGTAGACACTGGGAATACAGGGTGATCTGAACATACACAATCTCTGTCCGTATCATTAGCTAGTGGGAGAGACAGCCAATAATTTGACAAAACACCCTCTGAATGGAAAGCAACCTCAGTAAGTGCGTCACATACTGTAGAGGGATCCGACCCTGTCCAAAGGCCAAGGACACTTTCTCGGAGAAGAGATGCTCGGGCTGTGAAGGAGAGGTAGGCACTGAATTGGTGGGAGGTGCAGGAGAGGGTGCTCCCGGTGGAGGGGAAAAGTATGGGCAGCAGTGTTGATGAGGGATGGAAGAGTGAAGGGGAGAGTCTGGGAGGGGAGGGGCCTGCAGCAGAGCAAGTAGACTGACCATAGATTATCTGATCATAGAGGAGGCAGGGCAGGACCTTGGGATCCTGAGACGAAGGGAATCCCCAGGTGGCAGTGATATCCTCAGATCCGCACATCGAAATGATGCCTGATGCCCAATGCGCGGGTCCTCCTGGGGAGGACAGGGTGGAGTGGGTTAGGGACTTGGGGACTGCTGTAGCCTTCAAATGAGTGTGATGACGCCTGGACTTTGGGAGCAAAGACAGACCTTGAGAGAAGTGGACTATTGGAGGGATATTTAAAAGCTCCCCAAGCTTTCTCAGGGGAGTGGTTAGTGGGAAACCAACCCGGGGACCAGTTAAGCTATAGAGAGGCCTCGGTGCGTTGCTTTATTGACAGAACTTAATTGTAA